AGTAAACGGGAGATGGGAAGAATATTTGGATCAACTGCTGAATGTAACAGGCGAAGATTTTGATGTTATACTGCAGTACCGCGTATCATCAACTAAACTCCTCAACTGCGTATTATGTTTAAATAAATAAACTAATCAACTATTAAAATTAAGATAGACACAGAGAAGAGAGGCGGAATTATCCTGGTTAAGACATGGTGCATTAAATAGTGTCAAAGCGAAAGTGGTAAAAACAAGTGAGGAGGAGGAGGAGCAAGCCTGGAGCCTGGGAGCGACGAAGCGAGTCCTCAGTAACCTTTGAGCCAGCGTGAGGAGGACGTGTCTGAGATTCTATTTTCCTTAATTTATTTAGATTAGTTGCTGTTAGGGATATAGAGAGGGCAGGAAACACACTCCTCATAGGATGGCGTTTATTGAGGGTAGTAAAACGTGTTTACATCACCAGGGTCTGAGAATCTGTTTTAATGAGGTAGGGCTGCCCGGTGCTGCCAGCCGTTCGATACCTCTACCAATCCCTCACCGTTACCTAAACACTTTCGTTGTTCAGTCAGATAAACACATATGAACAATAACAACTAATATTAATACCATACTTGTTTGATTATTTTGTTTTATCAAGATGTACCCCGATCATCAAGAGGTTAAGAATGTTATCGTTTGTTTATCTATTTACTCCATAATTAATAATATAAGTCGGGGGTTTTTTGTTAAATATTTTTATTCATTTTATGGAAATTACCAACACTAACACTGACGAAAATAATGAGTGGAGTTGACTTTTAAGACATTTCCAATCAACACTAATGGAATTTACTTTTTAATCCTGTTGACATTTTTAATAAACCTGAGAAAAAATGTGTAATGTTTGTATGTGTGTCTATGTGTGTATGTGTGTTTAGATTATAACATGGCAAAAAATAATTATTGAATTCAAACACCTATAATCAAGCGCGTATAATAAATTAGGAATAAAGGTGAAATAAATTATCGCAAATCTATAATCACGAACGGATTTTACGAATTTATGCACGGAATGAATTATCACGAATGGCTGATGTTAGGAATAAACGCGAAACTAATGATCAAATGTGAATAATCAAGTACGGGTGTTAGATAATGAATGTGTATGAAATAATTTATAGTACATGAATAATCACGTACGGATAATATCATAGGAATAAGCACGAAATGAATTATACGTTCCTTTCAAATCAACTTTCTCTGGTTGGACCCAAATGGACAAAGGCGTACGTGACTGGGAGGGAGTTTCGGGGAGTCGCTTCGAGAGAGAAGGAACCTTGAAACCTGAAACCCACGGTCTCTAATGAAACCTTGACACAATGAGGGGTATCTAATGAATCCTTGACACAGTGAGGGTATCTACTGAAACCCTGAATACAAACTACCATCGTCATTCCTACATGGTATCTAACACAACTCTTGCATAAATTAGAAACCAATCCAACGGTCTCATTACCAAACAAAAGACCCACTCAAGGGGTTTCTAATCAACAAGAAAACCTTTAGTTGAGTCCTCACTAGCATGCACAAAAGAAATGCGTATGTATATTATGAGTCACACTTAAGTTCAACTAAATGTACACATGATTTAACCCTTTGACGACGATGATTTAACCCTTTGACGCCTAAGATTTAACCCTTTAACACTTAAGATTTAACCCTTTAACACTTAAGATTTAACCCTTCCGGACTCGAAGGTTTAATTAAGAACCATATAAAAGGTATTGGAGTTTTAACATATTTTTAACATCTATTTATTGACTTTCTTTTATGTTATTACGGAGTGTTTTCATGATAGGTTGGTTAAATTTGTAGTTAATAGCCGCGTTCACAGCTATAAGCCAGTCCGATACAGAACTCAAACATCGATACACACACACTCTCTCTCTCTCTCTCTCTCTCTCTCAGCTCAACCCAGAGACCAAAACATGACTCGACCCTGTGTCAGTGGTCAGAAGACATTGTTATAGGTAAAGGGTCACTGTAAAAGGTCAGAGGTCACTGTAAAAGGTCATGGGTCATTGTAAAAAGCCAGAGGTCACTATCAAAGGTCAGGGGTCACTGTCAAAGTTGATCACTGTCAAAGGCCAGAGATCATTGTCAAATGTCACTGTCAAAGGTCAAGGGTAACCGTCAAAGGTCGGGAATCACTGTTAAAGGCCACAGAGGTCACTGTCAAAGGTCAGACGTTACTTATATAGGTCAGATATCACTATCAAAGATCAGGGATCATTGTTAAAGGTCAGAAGTCACTATAAAAGGTCAGAGGTCACTGTTTTCGGTCAGGGGTAGCTATTATAGGTCAGAGTTCACTGTCAAAGGTTAGGGGTAACTGTCAAAGGTCACTGTCAAAATCAGGATCACTGAATTCTATGGTCAGTGATAAGACCAAAAATACCCAACAGGTGGGGGGGGGGGTGTAAGTTAAACACCGCAGTACTGTAGTTAAAGATCACCAAGTACAGCAGGTCAGGTAAGGTCAGCCAGCCGCCTTTGTGTGCTCAAACACGACACTCCCTTCAACGATTTACTTAGCCATTCTGTTTGTTAGTTCAAGTCCAATTAACTCAAACAATAACTAAAAACACTTAACTCTAAAACGACTTGAGGCCCTCACACGTGTGTTTGTGTACTAATTTGTGCTTATTGATTACTGTACTATACTACTGTACTGTTGTGTGTGTTTAAGAGATATGTACTCGTATACTACATGTACGATGGTTTTACTGAGTACGTAAATAAATGATATATAAGCTTGTGTACATTTTTACTACCTGTACTCATTACCTAAACTAATGTACAGTCTGTGTACTTATACGGGACAGGTGTTTTGCCGTGAGATCTCCGGAATTAATGAACCGATTGTGGTGAAACTCTGAGCGCACTTACTGTAAAAACCTGAGACTTACTGCACCAATTTAGGATATTGGCTGTGCGTATGTTAGGTACCTGTTGGTGGTGATGGTGATAGTCGTGGTTGATGGTGGTAGTTGGGTTGTAACGGTGGGTGATGGTGGTAGTTGTAGTTGGTGGGTGAAATGTGGTAGATGATGGTTGTTGTTGTGATGGATGTTAGGTTGAAATGATAGGTGATAATGGTGGTTATGGTGGTAGTTGTGGTTTCAGTTGGTGGTGGTAGTTGAGATATAATAGCAGGTTATGGTTGTGATGGAAGGTGATCTTAGTAGTCAAGTTGTGGTAGTTAGTTGTGGTAGGTGATGGTAATAATAATTGGAGTAACAGCGATGATGGTAGATAACACTGATGGTAGTAGGTAAGTGATCATAATTACGGTAATAGATAATGATGTTATTAATTGTGGTAGATGGTGATAGTAGTAGTTGTTATAGTAGGTGATGGTCATAATATGTAGTCATTATGATAATTAAGTTGTAGTGGTGATAGTAATATAGGTATGGTGATAGTGATGGTAATAGGGGGATAATATTAGTAGTTATGGTAGCTGGTGATAGTGAGGTTTATGGATGTATGGTGTCATATGGTAATCCCGTTCCTACCTTAAGATTTTATGACCCCCCCCCCAAAAAAAAAACATGTATACCGTAAGAGAACCGTGGTGTTTCAGGGTCAGCAACTGGGGTCTGGGAAACATACATCTTTACATACCCGTAACAACAAGCCCAAAGACCAAGGCAGACCGTGAGGCTAGGAGAGGAGAAGGGGTCGTCGCCTCCATCTGCCACGGAAGTTCTCGTCAACAGAGTTCAGCGTGGAACAGGCAAACTCATAACGCCGAGGCTTGTCATTAAGTTGTAAACCTTGGAATATTTACATTTTAATCGCGTAAAGTTTCAATCTCTTGTGTACGACTTTGTGTACCGTGACTCTAGTAGCTACAGATCGTTAAAAGCACGACGGATAGACTTTCTAGAGCTGCGTTGAAATGTATCTTGGACATTGGCAATGGTTTCTTTAAATAACACCTGGATGTATTACACTTCGAAGCAAGTCAGTCACACTACCTCTCCCCCGAAACTTGTGAACCACCTGCTAATGCTGTGTATGGAAAGAGGAGGAACCTTTCCATACTGACGGCGGTAATCTCATTCTCAGCTGCTCTCAACTCTACACAAACCAGATGATACATTGAGCTTCCCCCCAGTGTAGTTTCCATCTTCAACTTGACCTTCAGATTACAAACTGTGACTTCAAGAAAAAATAATTCTTAATTAAGCAACAAAACGCGAAAAAGTGCATAAGTGTATTATTTTTTAAGTCTGGTAATAAAATTTTAAAACAGGAACGGGAGTTGTGGCCACCCAGTACAAGAAATTCAGTGGTAGTGATGATTGTGGTGTTGGTAGTTGTAATAGTGAATCACCAACACCACAATCACCATTACTACAACCAACCTCACCACAATCACAACATATCATCGTAACAACAATCACGAACACTATCGCCGCAACCAATATATGTAACCACATTTTCTACAACTGATGTAGTGATGGTGGCTGTGGTGATGGTTATAATGGTGATTGTGGTGGTGGTGGTGTCAATAATGGTTATGGGGAAAGTAGTGATGGTGGTCGTGACGGTATAGTGATAGTGATGGTGGTTGCTTTAGAAACAGTAATAGTAGTTGCGATGATGATGATTGTAATTATAATTGTGGTAATTATGGAGGCTGTGGCGATAATTTTGATGGTTATGGAGATAGTGATAGTAATGGTTGTGATGATGATGATAATAATGTAATAATAACAGTAATAGTGACAGCAGTGGTAATATTTACGCTTTAAAATCATATCAAAATTTTGTGGCATTTATACTCAAAAGGTAAATATCTAACATCTAAAAAAAATAAAAATTATATACTATTGACAGTATTCGACAAACATTTTTTTAGCCTGGAATAAAAAACACTAAAAGCTATTAAAAATAATTATAAAAGATTTAAATTACACACAATAGCAGTAACTGAATACCCTTAGTACTAATACAACATACATACATACAGTTGAAAAACAGTACGGCTGTTATGTAGGCTCCATGCATAGCTGAAACCTTTTGCTTGCTTTTAATCACTGCAGAGAATCCTGAAAAACACAAACAGTCCTTTTCCGTCACACACATCAATAACTGTACACCATGACCGTGAAACATGTGTCTATTTAACTTATTAACATAGTATGAATGCTTTCGGTAAGTCTGTTTTTGCTATACACTGACGCAAGCGATCACGTGGGTAGCGAGGCCGAGCGCGAGCGAACGTGCTTACACGACGACGGCTGAGAGGAAACTGACTGTGAATCTTGCAGGGGAGTAGGGGAGTCAAGGGGACCCCCCCAAGTGCCCAAGTCCCTACGGTCAGACCCACCCAGCCCCTAGACCCTGCCAGCCAATCACAATGTTTCATTTTAACCTATTTTTTGATCATTGCCCTTGTTATTTGGGTTGATATCTTCGTTATAACAGGCTATATCGTTGATATTTTTACTCTTAGCGGCTATTGTGTTCATCTCTACAGTCTTATTGGCTCTAACTTTGTGTTGTACGTTTGTGTTCATATCGTCTGTGTTATTGGCTATGATATTTGATATCTTCACATAATTGGCTATAGTGTTTGATATCATTTACGTTACAACTATACACTATTGACAATTTCGTTGATATCTTTATAATTATCTGTTATTTGTATTGACATCATCATTTGTTACTACCTTGTTGATAGTTGACTACTGTACACTCACCTCTGATGGCTTTGTAGTATTAGTATATTCACCATCATTGCATATACTGTTGATATATCCACTATAATTGGCTATGCTGTTGATATATCCACTATAATTGGCTATACTGTTGATCTCTACCATTGGCTATACTGTTGATCTCTACTATTGTTAGCTATATACCTGTGATTGGCTATGCTGTTGATCTCTACCATTGGCTATACTGTTGATCTCTACTATTGGCTATACTGTTGATCTCTACTATTGGCTATACTGTTGATCTCTACCATTGGCTATACTGTTGACCTCTACTATTGTTAGCTATATACCTGTGATTAGCTATACTGGTGATCTCTAACCATTGGCTATGCTGTTGATCTCTACCATTGGCTATACTGTTGATCTCTACTATTGGCTATACTGTTGATCTCTACTATTGTTAGCTATAAAATATGGATATCTTCACTGTAATTAACTGTATAGTGTGGATATCTTCAGTATTAGCTATTTACTCTGGATATCTTCAACATATTGGCAATATTGTTGATAGCTTTACTGCTATTGGTAATCCCGTCGATAATATCCACCAGTGTCAATATAGTGTTGATATCCACCATAATTGGCTATAGTGTTAATATTGCCATCACTGATAGGTATATAGTGTTAATATCTCCACTATTATTGGCTATATTGTTGATACGTCATCCTAGTGTTCCGTAATCTCCGTAAACAAAACCTTATCATGGCCCTCAGCATCATCGCCTCTCATACTACCAACCTATATTTTGTTATTAATAGTTTCACCACTTATCAGCATACTGTAACTAGCAGGTCAAGGGGGAGGGGGGTCCGTTTTTGTTTTGTTTTTGTTACTTTAATATGAACTTTATTGTACAGGGTTAAGTACAGAAGGGAACTGAAGTACCCGGGCGTAATAAATAAGGTTTGGTAGTCTCACATCTGTCCAGACCGGAGATTGAACCTAGAACTGACAGAGTACCACCATCACTAGCATACTGTAACCCCTTTGTATCGCTACTATACACAGGAAAGAAACTATGTTTAAAAAAATTATAGTACAGTAATAAATATTAATTCAGATATAATTAATGATAAAGGATTAAAAAGACAAATAAATTCAGATGTAATTCTTCTCATACACAAACACTCATTCGGAGACACAGAATCTTAGAACAAATGTAAGACTTTTGGTGTTGGTGGGATGGAAGGAATTTTTATGTTGGGACGCCCCTAGAGATGGGAGGCGGAGTATCTAACCAAATGTGAATGTATATGACACTTGGGCGTTGTAAAGTCCCCATAACCTAGTGATTAATGATACTTGAGAAGGGACGTGTCGCAGATGTTACCCTCACACCCACCTGCTGTAGCATCTGTTCATATTTCCTGCGTCATGAATAACTTTAAAGACTGAATACTTGCTGTGCCCTATGTAATGTACTTGTTATAGCTCACTCTTACCTGGGCTTAGTATCCACTTTAAAGATATAAGATTATAAATTTATCTTTTTATGAGCGTTTTCATTACAGTTATGGCTTTAAAAAGAGTTATCCATAAAGAACTCTAATATTATCGTCAAAGTTATTGGAGTATATTTCGTTTTCTATTTTGTGTATAGCGGGACGACTAAATAAACGTTTGGTTCAATTTTTCTCAGTGCTGTACCATCAACCGTCCGCTTTTGGGTCATAAGGTTCCCTGATTCACACCGTATAAAAAAATTATTTTACCTGATTTGTTAATTTCATCACAACGTCATGTGATATAATAATAATCGCCTATAAAACCACAAACGTTGACCCTGACATTGTAAAATAAACTTGTGGGACTCGTGTGGTGAACATCCAGTGGCATTCAGTGGAAGTTCAGGCCAGGAGTCCCAGACGAGAATGTACCTCTAACCAAATACCTCCTCTCTACTATCAGACTACACCCATTACACTATCTACACTATATCCACTACATTAACATATTCATTACATCTATTATACTACCAAAACTACATCCACTAAATTATATACAATAATAATTAAATTCTACAATAATATCCTCTACATAGCAGTGGTGGACGACAACCTGCGGGGGCCGGTTGATCTACAGTAGGTTGATACGGCCCGCCAGAGTTGTGTTGATCGTTGTGCTTTGGTACGTAAATGTTATTATAAAATGGATGCACTTGACGCGGAAACCAATAGTTTTGACTACTATTTTTTTTTCAATATTAATTATATTATAGGAGAAGTGATTTTTTTTATAATTAATGTAAGATTTAACTTATCCAACACATTTACACAAATATTTGTTTGCGGATGGTAATATGGGCGGTGGTGAGTCACGCGTATCAAGTTACGGCGTCAGATTCAGTGTGCTACAGTCATCTGATTCTATATGTTGATGAAATATTGTAAATGTGATGATAAATGTTCTGGCTTTTGAATTTGGGTTATTACGATCAAATTTTCATGGATGCGGCCCACTGACTCACTTGGGTTGCCAGCACTGCTCTACACTATATCCTTATCATTATCCGTGGCCAAAAATAAATGCACACCCAAAAAAAAAAGTATCGGTTTTATATTAAAGACTGTGGTCGTGAGCAGAGGCCCAGCCCCTGATGTAGACATTTTTTAAGGACCGACAATTAAGGCCAACCTCCCATACTCCTCCATCTTCACTTTCGGTGTGCAGGTACAGCACAGTACACTACAGTACAGTACACTACAGTACAGTACACTAAATTTCAGCTCTGTCTTCAAACCTGTGGTCTTCCACATATATATATATATATATATATATATATATATATATATATATATATATATATATATATATATATATATATATATATATGCAAGTAAATCACTGTAGGTGCGTGATCTAGGTAGGTATAAGAAAGCAAGAAAAACACGAAGTGTTTTCTTCTTTCCTTATCAGCATATATATATATATATATATATATATATATATATATATATATATATATATATATATATATATATATATATATATATATTGATGAATGGAGTACCTTAGCTTTCGTCTTTATTCAAGACATCTTGAATAAAGACGAAAGCTAAGGTACTCCGTTGTTTCCATTTTCCCGTGTGATTTTATCAAGATTTATCTTATCCACGTTTTCATTGTGGATTTACATGAAATATATATATATATGCAAGTAAATCACTGTAGGTCAGGCGGCCAGGCGTGTACAGTTTTTTACTAAAAGCTTTAATTTTTGTTTACGTTTTACAACACAGCAGCTCGTACTTGGTAGGACCGACACACAGTAACACAGTACAAGCTAATAGCTTTTGCTCAGCTTCCGTCACACCGGCTTACAAAGAATGAATAAATATAAAATAGGCAGTGGCTATTCAGCCGTAACCGGTTGAATAACCTGGTAGTTTACACAGCCTACATAGGTTACATAGACAGCCAGGCTATTCAGCCGTGAACCCATATACATATTAACAACTGTATACCTGTAACTAGACACTTGTGGCCCTGAATTAACGGAACCTGTCTGCAGACAGGTGTATGTTTGTGCAGGCAGGTGTGTTTTCTTGTACAGTTGTTTGCTGTGGTGCCTGATAGTTGGTGTGTAGTTTAGTTGATATAGCTTAGACCTCTCAAAGTTGTGTAGTTAGGGTTATGTTATGTGGCGTCGACCACCGCCACCAGCGTCTGTACCGTATGTTTGACAACGTCAACAGAAGCGTCAGGGTGCTTCATCATCAGGTTAAACAGCCGGGGGGCCAATCTTGAGGTGATTCCTTTAGCGATATTATGCATTATTTAATAAAACAGAACCAAGAGCCCCTCACTACGCAATGATTATAACGTGAAACCTTCCAACAAAAAGCGTGAATAGTCGGGAGTGTGGAGAAGGTCCACAGGTGACGGGTGAAGGTGCAAGAGGTCATCATATCAAGGTGTTAACATGGAGGTCAGGCCGGGGGGGGGGGGTCAGGCTTCAGTCACCTGAGGTTTACAAGTTTTTACTGGAGCCAAATCAAATATTTCGATTGATGTGAAACGCAAAAAAGTTGTTGGTTGTGGATATAAAGAATTAATGAACTGATTTTAATAACCTCGGTAATTGAAGTATTTTGAATAAAAAAATACGACTGCCTTTGGCGGTTTTAGTGTTCTCCTTAATAGAACAGTGTGTGTGTGTGTGTGTGTGTGTGTGTAATAATAATAATAATAATAATAATAATAATAATAATAATAATAATAATAATAATAATAATAATAATAATCGGTTTATTAATAGAGTTGCAGCCGGTGGCTGAAAATATACAAACTTACATTTGATTTAGACATAATATAATATAATATAATATAATATTATATAATATAATATAATATAATATAATATTATATAATATAATATAATATAATATAATATAATATAATATAATATAGTATAATAGGGATAATTACCAAATAACGATAACTAATATGTTTTTTTTTTATATTTCACTAGTCATAGACGATCATGTGCTTGTGTTTGCAGTAAGTTAGGTCCACATGTAAACAGTGTTTGTGCAAAGTCACTTTGCACAAACACTGTTTACATGTGTACCTAACTTATTTTGTTTGAACATTGGCTTTGTTTGTTTGTACATAAGGTGTGTTTATTTAATCATATATACCAGCACTAATCAATCAGCGGACCGCGGTTCGAATCCAAACCGCGGCGAGCTTTGATGCGGGCCCCAGCCCCAGCATCTCTCTCTCTCTCTCTCTCTCTCTCTCTATCTATCTATCTATCTCTCTCTCTCTCTCTGGAAGAAAAGTCATAAAGTATTCTTCTAAAATACTGTACGTCTCTAATCAGTAGGGTTTTTTTTCTCATGTTTTAATTATTTTATTTAAACTTACAGTACAGCTGATGGTGGCATAAAAAATGCACCAGGCATTTGTGTATGCCATAGATGAGTCAACAAATACTACTGACAATGACCAATTTCTGGCATCTGTCAGATTTTATGATGAAACAAAGGTGAGGTTGAGTGAGGACCTGTTGGGTGGCAGCTACTGTGTGAGGCCATGAAAGGGGATACTAACACAGGGAGGGACAGATCTGAAGTCAGTGGTTCAGTGTTAGGATGAGGGAGAGAACCATCCTGCCATGTTATCATACCACTGAATAATCCACCAATCCGTCCTGTGTGTCAGTCTGGGGGATGAGTGTGTTGTGGTCATGGAGAAGATGCTGCGTGGCTCACCGACTGGTCAGTCCCAGCTATGATGATTGACTCATGCACAACAATGTAAGATGGCTCAGTAAGGGCGAGGTTTTGGAGAAATGTTGAGCAGTTGGGAAAGAGATACAAAATTTCATCAATGACCAAACGAGTGCTAAGGCAAACCAGTTCTCAGAGATTTTGCAAGATGACAAGAATATGGAAATTGTAGCATTTTTAGCAGATAATACATCTCATCTCGACGATCTTTATGTCAAGCTGCAAGGAGGAAACAGCACAGCGTGTGATCTGATATCAGCAGTTTGAGTTTTCCAGAAAAAAGTGAAACTTTTCACCTATGGTCTTCAGAGAGAACCTTCACTTCCCCAAACTTTAGGAACAAACCAAAGGAGGAAAGATCATAACCATGTTCTATTCATCGAGAATCATATTGATGATTTCAAGGCATATTTTAATGATTCCTCTCTAGGACGACAGCTGCTGCTCTTCAATCACAACCCTTCCTGGCCACAAACGGCTCAGAGTTTTCACACGAAACAAAACAGATATCCAAATGGGTGTGAGCTGCACCAACCCAAATAGAAATAATTAAACTACAATACAATGTGGCCTTGAAAGAGGATGTGTCTCCAGCTCGTCCCGTCACCTGCACAAAGTCGCATATTCTCACAATTTTGGTTCCACTTACTCTTGTGAGTCTGTTTCTTCCACCAAGTATTTAGTGAAGAAGAAATACCTCTCCAACATCCCCAATTAACACCTTCAACGTTGCCTTAAACTAGCTGTCACATCATTTGTACCAAACTACAGAAACTTGGCATGAAACACAAAGTGTCACTTTTAACACTAATGATGATTAATGAAACGCCCCCAGTACCTACCACGACCCGCAGTCTATTGTTGTGTTACAGAGAATTGGATCAGTTTTTTATTCCTCTCCTCAGGGTCGCTCCACAACAAGAGAGGGATGGATGGTTGCCTTTGACCCGACTGTACAATACATAGCGTGACCTCGTTATTCTTTCTTGTTTACAGAGCACTAGTTCATTTTTTAAATAATTTGTATTTTGAAAACGTTTAGAGATTAAAACTACCAGTAGCTGGAAATAAATCACAAAAAGTATACTTATTTCTTTGTTATTGCGTCATTGTAAATTAAACCTTTCATCCGGATCTTTGCCAGCTAGGAAATTTGTGTGACTGTTCCCAACACAAAGGGTAATTGAGTAACACTGATATAAACTGTCTTATATTATTACATAAACTATAAATTCAAATGGATTGAGAAATGTGATTCACAACATTGAGATAATGGTGAGATAACGAGACATACGAGGAGGTGAGATTATTATAACCCCGTGCTGGAGTAAGGTATGAGAGACAGGGGTCGAGGGGGAGAAAAAGAGATGCATAGTGAGAGAGAGAGAGAGAGAGAGAGAGAGAGAGAGAGATCAAAGCAAAGATCATCTCCCGTCTCCTGTCAAGGAAGGATTCGACCGAGGGAATTTTTGTTCAGGTCAGAAAAAAGAGTTGTTGGTTTTTCATCGACGACTTCTCTTTGATGTTGATGGTGGGTGATGGTGATGGTTGATGGTGAAGATGGTGGTGGTTGATGGTGAAGATGGTGGTGGTTGATGGTGAAGATGGTGGTGGTTGATGGTGAAGATGGTGGTGGTTGATGGTGAAGATGGTGGTGGTTGATGGTGAAGATGGTGGTGGTTGATGGTGAAGGTGGTGGTAGTTGATGGCGTTGATGGTGGTGGTTAGCTGTTCAATGTTAAATTACCTTATGATAACTACAAAAGCTAAAGCCTATCATGTGTAGCTTTGTGAGACTCGACGTAAAGAATCTAGCTGGTGTTAGCTGTTCGTGTTAGTGTGTGATGTTAGAGTTTAGCTTTTTATATTGAAATTAATGCTTTGTTTATCATTAGCTGTTAGTCGTGTGATGTAATAGCTTTTAATCATTCAATAAAGTTTAGCGTTTGCTGCCTGACTGGAAAAAACAATTGGCCATCTGGTGTTAGCTGCATGGTGTGATAGCTTATTTTTTGTTTATCTTATGTTAGCTGTTTTTAGCTGTTTTGTGTGTCTAGCTTCTTCCACTTATAGGTTGTGCTAGCTGATAGTTGTTTGATGTGGTAATTAAGTCTCTCGGGGCAAGAAGAGACATATGGTTGGTGTTAGCTGTGTAATGTGGTATAGCTTTGCATCTGAAGGCAAGTACTATAGTTTAGTTAACGTTAGCTGTTGTCGTGGCATGCAATGATTTAGTTTTTAAAAGTGAAAAAAATAGCTTAACTAGCATAAATTTCATAGGGTGAAAAGCTATAGTTTAGCTTGTGTTTAGTTAAATTTAGTTTCTTTCGATGAATACAGCTATTTTAAGTATGTGTTAACTATGGTGTGCTACTTTAGCTTCTTAGAATAAAGAGATTTAGTCTAGCTCAGTGGTTCTCAACCTGGGGGCCATGCCCCCCAAGGGAGCCACGGCAAGAATTTAGGGGAGCCACGGCGAGCTGTTATAAATTGTACGTTTCCAAATAATGTTGGGAATCTGAATTAAACAATTACTTATTTTGACTTGGCAGAAGAGAATTTTCATTCTTTTTTTTTCATTTTGATTAATCATAACGACAATACAATTTTAATATTTACATACTCTGGTGCTATTTTTTTTTTTTTACGGATTATTTAAGATTTCACAGGTCCAGTCCCTGTCTGTGTGACAGGCGCTGGACCGAGCTGCTGAACTGACTTGTTCAGTACGTGTCCGTGTGTCATCCCTTTGCAAGTGGTGATAGGACCGAATGATCTCAGTCTGGCCTGGGATACCATCACGAAAACAGTGGAGTGTATTGTCTCTGAACCATATATTGTGTTTGAGCTTGACTCAAGCATAATATACTCCGTAATTGTTGTTACTTATTTTGTTTCATAATTCATGTGGTCGCTGCTTTACGTGGGTGAAATATTTGTACACTTCCTTTATTAATTATTTCCTTATTTATCGGTGCCATTGTTGTTCATACTCATTCTTTACTTATATAATCCTACCATTTTTAGTGCTAAATTGGTATGACTCACTATTCTTCTCATTCTCCCAAGTTGGGCAGTGTTTGTCAAAGGAGGAGTGTTCTTGTTTACAGGAAGTACACTTCAGCTTGCTAACTTGAGTGTGAATGTTTACCCGTGTGCATGTTTGTGTATGACTGTATGTGTGCTTTATGTGTGAGTGCATGGGCGTGTTATGTATGTGAATGTGTGTGTGTGTTTTTACCATTCTAACTCTTGTCCTATTTATCTGTCCTTCTTTATCATTCTTTAGTCTTTATCACTTGTCTGTTTGTCTGTTCTGACATTGTCTTTTTTATTTTCTCTAGATTTGTGATGGCTACTAGTGTTGCTAAGAAGAGGAAGTACATCGATGGATACATTAACTACGGATTTACGTCAATCCTCGCTGATGGCATTGAGAAACCTCACTGTGCTGTGCTTCAAAGTGCTGGGGAACGATTCTATGAGGCCTAGTAAGCTGAAGCATCTTCTGATGACGATCCATCCACAGTATGCGGAGAGAGACACCGATTTCTTCAGGCGCCATGAACGGATTGTAGTTGAGGCATCATACGAGGTTTCCCTCGAAAATAGCAAAGCAAAAGAAGCCCCATACAATTGGGGAAACTTTAATTAAGCCATGTGCTTTAAAAATGGTCAAACAGGTTCTTGGAGAGGCAAGTGAACGTAAAATTCAACAAATTTCCTTGTCAAACGATACAGTGAAACGGAGAATTAATGAAATGTCAGATGACATAAAGGAAAAAGTGATACAGGAGATCAAATTATCTCCAACTGGTATGTTTACAATACAGCTGGATGAGTCAACGGACGTGAGTTCTTGTGCACAGCTACTCAGGGAGGAATATCTGCTCTGTACACAGCTTGAGACCACCACAACAGATGTAGATGTGATGGAAAAGCTGTCTTCTTTCTTCACAGCTAACAGGATCAGCTGGGATAATTGTTGTGGAGTCTGTACGGATGGGGCTCCGGCGATGATGGGATCAAAATCGGGGTTCCAGAAGCGTGTCAAGGAAGTAGCTCCGAATGCCAAGGGGATCCATTGTATGATCCATCATTTTGCACTGGCGTCGAAAACCCTCCCTGATGAACTTTGCAAGATCCTGGAGGTAGTGGTCAAATGTGTCAACTGTGTCAAAGCTGGAGATCTGAACTCTCGCTTTTTCCAGAACCTTTGTAGAGACATGGATTCAGAGCATGAAGCCCTCCTCTTTTACTCCAAAGTGCGCTGGCTTTCCCAAGGTGTAATGTTGTGACTCGAGTGTTTGAACTTCGCGGAGAGCTTAAGTTGTTCCTGGAAGTTCAAGGGAAAGATGATCTATTAAGTCACTTCAATGAGGTGTTGTGGGAGCCTCGTCTTGCATATTTAGCAGATATATTTGAGCAGCTAAACAGGTTGAATCTCAAGCTGCAGGGCAAGGACAGAAATGTGTTTCACCTCATGGATTGTCTTCGTGCATTTCTTGCCAAGCTCCAGAAGTGGCAAAGGAAAGTCAATGCAGGAAATGTTGCCATGTTTGAGAATCTTTCAACTGTTCTTGATGAGAATGTAGATCATCTGCTTGACCCATCACTCAAAACTGAAATCACTCAGCACCTGAAATCCTTGGAAAGTGAGCTCAAAAAGTATTTCCCAGAATTCGAGGAGGAAGATGGGAAATTGGTGAGGAATCCTTTCTCTGGCACTCTTGATATTGCTACAATTCCCAATGTTGTTCAGGACGAATTTATTGATCTCAAGAATGATTCTGCTGCCAAAGATCTCTATGAAGAAAGATCTCTGACTGTATTCTGGTGCTCAATGTATCAGTCATATCCAAAAGTTAGCGAGATTGCACTTCGAGTCCTCTTGACTCTTTCAACTACCTATTTATGCAAATCTGGTTTCTCCACCCTTCTACGTATAAAGAGTAAAAGCCGGAACCAACTGGATGTGGATCCGGACATGAGATGTGCATTGTCAGTGACACAACCTCGGATCAGTCACCTGACTGAAAGGAAACAATGTCAGCCTTCCCATTGAGCTGTGACAAAATATGCAGAGGTCATATGAACTTTTTCCCAACCAAATTCAAGTTTGCTGTGAGGCTTGTCTAGTAGTCACTCTAGTCTAGTGACGTCAGTTTTGTAAATCATGTAAGTCTATCAAAATATAAGATAATGATGTTTGTCAACCTTGAAATTAAAATAAGGGTATTGTCTTCATCTGCATTTTATTTTTCAACATTATTTGTGGGGGGAGAAAAATGAAGGAGGCCACGAAGATGTTGAAAATTCCTCAAGGGGGGAATGGAGTGAAAAAGGTTGAGAACCACTGGTTCTAGCTGGTGTAAGATGCTGGCAGGTTAGCTTTATCCAATGAGAAAAGTTATGATTTAGCTGGTGTTTGTTGTGACAGTCCAGCTTCTGACACAGTTTAGATTGTAATTTGCTACACTCAACTGTGGCACTTTTCACCTTGCCAAGTTAAACTATTCCACCACACAGCTACCATCAGCTAAAATATAGCTCTTCGCCACATGAAGCTAAAGTGCAAATAAATCAACTAACCTAACTACATCATAACATCAGATAAAGTACATTACTTATTTTCATGTATAGTGCAGGAAAATATCACCTTACCCAGCGGAATGTCTTCTGAATATTTATTTAAAGAAAAAAATTCCATTGTGTAAAAAAATAAGAATTTATACCACAACTTTTTTACTAAGATAACAGATTTTTTAGAGTTGATAACATAATTCCACACAGTCACACAGTACTGTACTTTACTAATGAAGATCTATGTGTAGTTTCGTCTCTTTTCTTCATAATTTTAAGTCACTGTATGAAGTAAGTTGTACACTAAGGTGTCAAAACTAAACAGTAAAAGACTTAATAATTTCTAGAACAAACGTCATAAGTCACTTGGCACCTCAAAGATTTGCCCGCTGATCAAAGCAGATTATCATGGTACGGCATTTATATTAGCACATGCCTTGTAAGACCAGTTAACTGACAGGCACACACATACACACACACACACACACATGTTGACATACAAACAAACGGACAAGCACGAGACATATTACGTGTGAGATTTAAACAACTACGGCAAAGCGTTGAGGTTTATTAACTCGGAAGGTTTATTGATCTAAATGTATAACCTAACCAAAGCTAACCTAACCATCTGACAAATATACTTTATATAAATACTCAGAACATAGGTTAATGCCCACATAAATGTTAAAAACCCACTGACACAAAATACAATGGACAGATAGACAGAAAAAGACAGGCTTAGACATTTAGTACAGATAGAAAGACGGGCAAACAGACAGACAGAAACAGACTCGGTCATATAGTACAGAGACAGGCAAACAGACAGACAGAAACAGACAATCTCAGGCATATAATACAAAGAGAAAGACGGGCAAACAGACAGACATAAACAAGGCACAACCCACTGGGCCAACGCAGAGCATAAAAAAAGCCAATTTCACAAAAGCATTATCTTGAGCACAAAATGGAGACTTTCCTAACAGTTCCCATGAGGCTAGAGGGCAGATGAAGCAAGTCAATATGTGGGAGTGGGGACCCTTCCCTTAGGACCTTCTTACTCACAACAACCTCTTTATTCACCCCCGAGTGCGGTAACTCTCAACCCCCGAGTGCGGTAACTCTCAACCCCCAGAGTACGGTAACTCTCACCCCCTGAATAAGATAAATAAACAGCAATGATAATATTTTAAGGCCAAGAATGCGGTAAGCTTAAGTCTTCAGTATAAGAGATGTAAATATGAGTAAACTTCACGATATTAATAGTTGGTGAAAGAAATAATTTTACAAACATTGATTACATTAATGAAATGATATCGCTTGGTTCATTTATTAAATTGGTGAGTTTCGGAAAAAATACGGTCTTGGGCAACTGTATTCAACTATATACAACAATAATAACTTAAGGCTTCCAATACATCATGTTTTAACGAATCTCTAATTGTGTTAACTGGAAGACTTCAATACGATGACTGTCTTTATTACTCAACGAATAACAAAATTAATATAATTATCTTTATTTTTCAACTTTGAAGACTAGTGTAATTACTACTAATAATATACGCCCTTAAAGACCTTAACTGTTGAGGGGCAGTAATGTAGTATAACCTCAAAATTAAGAACGAAGTTAATGTAACTTAATCATCATTTTTGTTGACTGGTGAATGTATTAAGTGTACAAACTTTTTAAAACCCGTAGTTGTAAAACCGCTGTAAATCGTTAAAACACCCAGGGGCCTTCCCAGGTGCGGTGGTGCCCACAGGGTCCCTCCCAGTGGCACCGGTGTCCCCAAGGGACCTCTCAGGTGTAGTGGCGCCCCCAGGAGCCCCTGGGTGGCGGCACTCCCAGGGGCCCTGCCAGGGGCGGTGGCGCACCCAGGGGCCTTCCCAGGTGCGGTGGCGCCCACAGAGTCCCTCACAGGGGCACCAGTGCCCGCTCGGAACCTCTCCCATGTGATGGCCCCCCCACGGGCCCGCCAAGGGGTAACGTCGCCCCCAGGAACACTCCAAGGGGTAACGTTGATCCCAGGGGACCGCCAAGGGGTAATGTCGCCCACAGGGGCGCTTCTTATGGGCAGCGATAACCCCAGAGGCCCTCCTCAGAGTCATCCGTACCCCCAGGGGACCCTCCAGAGGCGGTGGCGACCCACGGGGCGACGGTGCCCTCAGGGGCATTCCCAGGAGCCCTACAAGAGGCGTCCACTACCTGGAGACCTATAGCTTTAGGTCGTAGTTTCATACATATTGCATAAGTCCAGCAATCCCTTACTTAACTGTGATTGGTGGACTAAAATGTAAATGCAAATATCAGCCAATAGGAGAATAGAGCAGTCAGTCAGCACAACACCCCAACTTATGTTTTCCTGTTGGATATTTATTCTCCTTTACATTGTTCATGCCGTGATGATACTGGAAATGCGATGGAGGGAGTATTTTTCATATCTCCCATTGTTCTAAATGTGCAAAAACAACTGCCCCAATGGTCAATCCAGTGATAGTGCACCCTGGGTCCCTGCCATTTGCCCTACCATGTGCGACGCCCTATGGGCTCTCCCAGTGGTGTCGGTGCCTCCAGGGGCCCTGCGAAGAGTGGCGGCGATCCCAGGGGCCCTGCAGGGGCGGTGGCACACCCAGGGGCCTTCCCAGGTGCGATGGCGCAGACATAATCCCTCCCAGGAGCACCGGTGCCTCCAGGGTACCTCTCAGGTGTGGTGGCGCCCACAGGGGCCCGCCAAGGGATAACGTCGCCCCCAGGGGCCCGCCAAGGGGTAACGTTGCCCCAAGGGGACCGCCAAGGGGTAACGTTGCCCCCCAGGGGACCGCCAAGGGGTAACGTCGCCCCCAGGGGACCGCCAAGGGGTAATGTCGCCCCCAGGGGCTCTCCTCAGGGGCACCGGTCTCCCCAAGGGGACCTCTCAGGTGTGGTGGGCCCCCCAGGGGACCGCCAAGGGATAACGTCGCCCCCAGGGGACCGCCAAGGGGTAACGTCGCCCCCAGGGGCTCTTCTTAAGGACAGCGATGCCCCTAGGGGGTCCCCTCGGGGTCAGCCGTGCCCCCAGGGAACCTTCCAGAGGCGGTGGCGCCCAAAAAGGCGGCGGCACCCTCAGGGACCTTCCCAGGGTCCCTACCAGAGGCGTCCCCCTTACCTGGAGACCTATACCTTTTGGTGGTAGTGTCATACATATTGCATACGTCCAGCAATCCCTTCCTTAACTGTGATTGGTGGACTAAAATGTAAATGCAAATATCAGCCAATAGGAGAACAGAGCAGTCAGTCAGCACAACACCCCAACTTATGTTTTCCTGTTGGATATTTATTCTCCTTTACATTTTTCATGGCGTGGTGATACTGGAAATGCGATGGAGGGAGTATTTTTCATATCTCCCATTGTTCTAAATGTGCAAAAACAACTGCCCCAACGGTCAATCCAGTGATAGTGCACCCTGGGTCCCTCCCATTTGCCCTACCATGTGCGACGCCCTATGGGCTCTCCCAGTGGTGTCGGTGTCTCCAGGGGCCCTGCGAAGAGTGGCAACGATCTCAGGGGCCTACTTGTGATTAGCTGCAGGGCCTTCCCATGTCGCGATGGCGCAGTGGGATCCCGAGGCTTTGGTGCTGGGGACCCTCTCTCAGGTGTGGTGGGGTGCCAGGGTAACGTGCCTCAGGGGCCCGCCAGGGTAACTTGTTGCCCCAAGGGGACCACTCCAGGGTAACTTGTGCCCCCAGGGGGATACTTCAGAGGTAACGTCGCCCCAGGGGACGCAAGGGCTAACATCCCCAGGGGACCGCCAAGAATTAACAGCAGCGCTCCCAGGGTTCTCCTCAAGGCTTGGTTCCTAGGGGAGCTCTCCGGGTGTGGTGGGGCCTCAGGGGGCCGCCAAGGGATAACATCGCCCCCAGGGGCTTTTCTTAAGGACAGCGATACCCCAGGGGCTCCCTCGGGGTCGTGAAACCTTCCAGAGGCGGTGGCGCCCAATGGGGGCGGCAGTGCCCTCGAACCTCCCAGGGGACTTCTGAAGGGCGTCCCCCTTACCTGGAGACGGATACCTTTTTGGTGGTAGTGTCATACATGTGCATACGTCCAGCAATCCTTACTTAACTGTGATTGGTGGATACAAAATGTAAATGCAAATATCAGCCAATAGGGAAACAGAGCAGTCAGTCAGCACAACACCCCAACTTATATGTTTTCCTGTTGGATATTTATTCCTCCTTTACATTGTTCATGGCATTGGTGATACTGGAAATGCGATGGAGGGAGTATTTTTCATATCTCCCATTATTCTCATCATTAAAAAACAACTTTGCCCCAACGGTCCAATCCGAAGTGGTAATCTTGCCTTTTAGGGCCCTCCCATTTGCCCTACCAAGTGCGTTGCGCCGCTCTCCCAGGGGTGTCGTGCCAGGGGGAACCCTGCAGTGGCAATCTCAGGGCCCTGCCAGTGTGATGGCTCGCAGGGGCCTTCCATGTGCGATGGCGCAGACAGGATCCCTCCCGGGGCACCGGTGCCCCAGGGGACCCTCTCTCTCAGGTGTGGTGGGTGCCCCACAGGGGCGCCAAGTGTAATCCTTTGAGGCCTGGGGTAACTTGTTGCCCCAAGGGAGGGGACCGCCAAGAGTGCGTGTGCTGGGGACCGCCAAGGGGTGGCATCCCCCAGGGGA